CCGGTAAAGTGGTTGATAAATGGGAAAAATGATTGCCTGCTGGTCGCCTGCTGGAGACAGCGGTTATTGTTGACAATCCGGTGCTGTGAAAGCGCAGCAGTCATCCTGTCGCCTGTCTGCGGCACTGGAGCTCTTCATACGATCCCTCCTGAAACGCAAGCCTTTTTACCATATTGCTCACACACACACACACACGGGCCTGCACACCTCATTTATAAACCATTATAAGATGACTAACATGCACCTTTCACCTTTCTCAAAACACACTTTTGCTTTTCATTCACAAAAAGGTAACACATCGCTTGTTCAGTTTAACATTGCACATGATGTCTATTTTGCTTTTCTGCTCATGTAATAAGAGGTTGCATTTCATAAACATCACATTCCTTTAGGAGAATAGCGAAACTGATTCTCCGCACATGCACACACATTTAATCATACGCTTTCTTACGTAAAGTAATTGTCACCATTTGTCCAGTGATTCCTATTTAATGACAGTTAATAATTAACTACATGAACACTAGTTTTCTCATCTTCTCAGGTGTTAAGAGAAGACACACACTGCTGGGCTTTGCTTTAACATGAATGTGAGAGTTCTGTGCTGGAATGTCTGGTGAAGAATTGTCTAAACGAGCATGACATCTGTGGACGTGGAATGATGGTTTCAATCTGCAATACGTTTCTTGTCTTAGCTATAGCATTTACTCTCTAATGGATTAGAATCACCAATCAATCTAATGTTAACACAATATAATCAGCTTTTCTGTGGACTAAACAACGGCAGCGTGAAAAGTAATGAGGGTAAGACATCAGAAACATCCTACACATCTTTATTAGAGGGTGTGACTGTGATTAATTGTAGCATAGTAAAGTAGTGATAATTGGTAAGTACCTGCGTGAGTGATCGGGGGATTTGATCGGCCGTGTGCAAAAGGAGCTGTGAAGGAAAGCACGAAGGGTTACATGGCTCGTGTTGGCTATCAAATATCCTCTCCCATCATGATGCTTTAAGATGCTGACCTCTGTGCATGGCCCCCACAGCCCTGCGATCTCTCATCACTCCGCTTCCACTTGATCTCCTCGTGTGGCACGTGGATGGAGCAGACCCAAATCTAGAGTCAACAAAGGGAGACAGACAGTTAAGAAGTAATAAGCTTTATCTAAAAAAGGATAATTGTGCTAAACACAAAACAAAAACAAAGAGAAATATTAGATCCAAAATCTCCAAACAAATTGGAATTAAATATGCCTCAACAGAGACAAACACTTGCTGGGACAGAACATAAATACATTGATTAGTACATTCACACATCCTTTAAAATAAAATTTAAATTGAGAAATATATAAATGATTAATCTTCTTTTTTGTTTAAAAAAAAGGTGGGTTGTGTTGGTTCAGTCGAAACTAGAAGTTCATACCAATGTAATTGTATTTTCTTACAGATTTTTGCTATTTCTGTGTGCATTTTCAAATGTTCCCACATTTTATCCTGGTGAGTTGTGCTAAATCTGCTATTTTCTACTTAATTTATGATCAAATAGTTTAATTCAGATCAAGTGATTGTGTTAATAACATGTAATAACTTAGCCCTGCTGGCACCCTGCATCCATAGCAACTATCTAGCAAGTTGAAAACTAGAAAAAGTGCGCAGCGTTAGTGCTGACCATTGAAAACTAGAACGATGTCACACGCAGCTTTAATGCATTTCATAGGGTCTCGGACTCAGTGATGTGCATTAACCGGTTTGGCTAGCTATGCCATTTTGAGAGGTTAGTCAGGTGCCTGAAGCCATGAAACAGTGCTCCCTACTCTGTTTTGTGATGCTTTGTTATGGCTTTGTTCTGCTCTGTTTGTCCTCTCTGTCTTTTGACGAGTGGACCTCACTCACTACACTCTGAGAAACGGGAAATGCAAACTAGTTTCACCAGAAAAAATAGGCCACAGTATGATTTCACATCTCTAATTGAGCCAACAGCATATAGGCTCCTCGTCTATTGTATTTATCACAGAATCCCCAGGAGACTGGACTGTTCCTAATTTATCACATGCAAGAGGACAGATCTTTTAAAAATGGATTTTTATTTCATGTTGCTAAGCAGTTTTATTTCTCAAAGTAACACTGAAACAAATATCTTCAGAAACCCTTTTTTTTTACACATTTGAATCGCATGGAAGGAATTGAAAAATAAAAAAAATAGAAGTCTGGGGAGGGAGAAATGGAGCTTAAGAGCTCTGTGAAAGCTTGAGAAATACCTGCTGACTTGAGCTTGTTGTTCTCAATGGCGGTAGCGCATTGTAGCTGGTGTGGTTGCTGCAGAGCATGGCAGTCCAAAAAAGACAGCGGGGCTGGCTTGCAAGACTCTACCCGGTAACAGTATCATTTTCAATTCAAGCAGTGGACTTGTGATCTGGATTTAGCCCATTTCTGACTGTATCTTTGACCTCGATTGTCTTTTCTAAAAAGGATGTGTGTGTGTTAGGTAGGGTTGGTTAATACTAACTGTTAGTAACACAGGGGCTGCAGAAAGAGGAAAGTACGCTATTTTGTGACTGTTGGAGAAAAAATATGAAGAGACAGGGCATGCAGAACATGGATGTTATAGCAAAAGCTGACTGAAGTCTGCAGGTCAATCGACACGTGACAGCATGTGTCCCATCCTGTTAGTGCAGATGTCACTTGGTCTTTTTTTAATGGATTTATTTGTTTGGAGGAATTAGATTTTTTTCCCAGCTCAATTTATTTGTTTTCTTTACAAGAGAAATCAGACGATTGATATAATTTGGGGACACACAGCAGGGAGGCAATTAGCGGTGCTTAGCATAGGAATTAAATCCATAGCTCCTTTTGGTGAATAGACTGAGAACAAGAGAAAGCCAACATCACAGTGAGACAAGAAATTTTTAAGACTTAAGCGAAGTAAAGTATTTTCCCTTTTGGATTCTTTTACAAGAACACCATGTATTTCATTGTGGTGACTTTAATTGAGATATTATTAAGTGAAAAATCTACATCGTACAATATTATACATCTGATCATGTTGAAATATTGTTGTTAACTATGCTGTAACACCACTTTGATAACCTAGATCCTCTGGATACCATTCCACTGTCCTTCAAATGTGATGTAGCATTCTCCTTATTTCCCTACACTATACTGACATTAATTTTCCAAAAGAGATGAAACAGTATAAAAGAGGGTTAAAGATAACTTTGACTGATGGCATTATGATAATAATTATCCATAATCGGTTGAGGAGTAAAATTTCAAAAGTGTGACAGCTGCACAAAGAAGGGACCAATTCTCTAAAAAATGAACCTTTAAGTGTGCAGATACAGGGTTTAAGGTAAAGGTATTTCTCAGTCACATACTGTAGGTAAGCTTTTAAGTGCCAGAGACAATTAGTATTTCACTCCTGTGGCCTTTTTCAAAGGTCATGCGACCACTAATAATAAGATGATACACAGACACACAAAGTAAACTGACAATATCCACTAATTGAGCTTTTAAACATCATATTGCAACTCCTTTATTTACACACAAAAATGCTGTCAAAAAAGGACAAAAGACCTATATCCAATGTGTATAGGTGGGTTGTGTTATCGACAACTTTAGAATTTTTTTTTTTTTTTTTACAATGTGTAAGTTAATGTCACAGTACAGTGTTCTTCTGTTTTTACTTTTTACAATACCTGAACAATATGGACATTAAAAAGAAAAAAAAGCAAACAAACAAAAAAAGACACTGGAGACCATGTCCTCATAGAACAAGAACGACAAGCATCAAATCAAATTGATGAGCATGAGGTCAACTTCAGTTCTGTACCATAGCGGGTTTTCATAATGTTTATATGTGTAGGGAAGGGATATTTTCAACTTCTCTCATTCCCATCAGAAACGCTACCCAAACATGAGTACATAACAATTTGTATGAGCGTACACCACTTTGGGCACCTTTTGCATGTAAATTTTATACACGTCAAGCTTTAAGTGTGTTATTTTACTCCATTAAAATAACATGCTAAATGCACAGGGTCCGGGTAAAGTACAAGGCAGAGTGACATTTTCCCACTCTACATAGCATGAAATGCCATGTGAAGATGTGAAATGCTGTAATTACCCACAACATGATGTGGTTTGTAATAACCATGCCATTTCATGTGATCAGACTGATATTAGACTTCCCCTGCACACTTGGCATGCTAATACAATTTTTTAAGGCCTACATGACACGGTGTTCTCAGAAAACTGAGATCCTGGAAGTGCTTTGGTGTTATGTGTCTGTCTAATCTGGAAACAAAGACAAATATCCCATGTGCACGTCATCATTCACTGTCACCTCTGTAGATATGCAAAATGAATGAAGAGAATGCCACCTATGTCTGAATGATTGGATCTTTTATAGATTGATGAAGTATTTAATGTGATGCATCTCATTTTTGAAAAAGGTTTAACAAACACGTCCTATCTTCATTGTTTAATCCAAGAGGGTGAGAAAATGATCATATGTAAAGTCCAATTACTGAGAATGGCAGTGCTCCAGAACCAATTTGTCAAATTAAGTTCAATCGGGATATATGGCTTTTCTGAGTTGAATGCCCACTGGTGCACTGCCACCATCTTCTGAATGTCACGTATGAGATATTGGTGTCAACCATTAGCAATATTTTGTAAATGAACAGTTTGACATTCACACTGTGATTGCCCTGCAGTTTGGATGTGGGGGAAGTATTACAAACCTGCTCAGAAAGCACACTGGCCTAACTGGTTGTGCTGGGAATTGAAGTTACAAGTCACACACAGTCTTTATTTAAAAATAAGTCAAACACATTTCCCACTTAATGCATATAATAGGATTTTTCTTCTACTAATGTCTTCTACTAATGTTTAGCTACAGCTTTAACACATATAGTGTAAAAGCAGTTGCTAAAGGGTTAAAGCTGCTTATATTTGTTTTAAACCTGTTCTTCATGCCCCTTTCTCTCTCTTTCATCTGTTGGCAGGCCTTCAGTTGTCGGGGAGATAACTCACAAGAGAAGAAGCAGAAAAGATTCTATCTGGAGGATCAAGAAAAACGGGCCAAATATCGAACTGAGGTGGATAGTTGCAGAAGCCAAACAAGGGCAGCGCAGCACAAGAGCCATGTGGGAGGAGGGTGAATGGGATTTGCTATTTGCACGCATCAAGTCCAAACACTTTTTCTGCTGACATACACTGAACTTTCTCAAGCCTTCCACTGGAGCTTTTCCTCAGGGGCAGCCCCTGCTATGAACCCCAGCTCTATTTGCTTCAGCAGGCAGTCCGACTTCAGTGCCAGGCACTGTGTGGGCATCCCACAAGTCTGGGTTCTGCCCACACAGAACTCACAGACTTCCCCAGAAAAAAGAGAATGAAACACTCCTGAATCACTTTTTTTTTGTGTGTGTGTGGTGGCTCTCCTATCTAGTGTTAAACTGATCTGTTGTGAAGTTTGGTCTGCCTATTCCCCCCAGCCTGCTCGGACTCACAAAAACCCACTCGAACTCGTCCACCGGGCCCTGTTCACCCACCACTTCATTTCTAATTTGCTCTCCCATCAAGCAGCAGCACGAGTTCCTTTGTGCTAACCACGTGGTGGAGGACCATGGGATGCCGTCAGAGCTCGGAGGAGAAGGAGGCAGCGCGGCGCTCGCGGCGGATCGACCGCCACTTGCGCTCGGAGAGCCAGCGGCAGCGGCGTGAGATCAAGTTGCTGTTGCTGGGCACCAGCAACTCCGGCAAGAGCACCATTGTCAAGCAGATGAAAATCATCCACAGCGGAGGCTTCAACCTGGAGGCCTGCAAGGAGTACAAGCCCCTCATCCTGTACAACGCCATCGACTCCCTCACCCGCATCATCCGCGCCCTCACCACCCTGAAGATCGATTTCCACGATCCCGACCGCGCCTACGACGCCGTGCAGCTCTTCGCTCTCACGGGGCCGGCTGAGAGCAAAGGGGAGATCACTGCCGAGCTCCAGGGGGTAATGAAGCGCCTGTGGGCCGACTCAGGGGTTCAGGAGTGCTTTCAACGATCCAATGAATACCACTTAGAGGATAACACTGCCTACTACCTGAACGATCTGGATCGCATCTCTGCCGCCGAGTACATCCCCACGGTGGAGGACATCTTACGCTCCCGCGACATGACCACGGGCATCGTGGAGAACAAGTTCACCTTCAAGGAGCTCACCTTCAAGATGGTGGATGTGGGGGGGCAACGTTCGGAGAGAAAGAAGTGGATTCACTGTTTCGAGGGCGTGACTGCAATCATTTTCTGTGTTGAGTTAAGTGGCTATGACCTGAAACTCTACGAGGACAACCAGACGGTAAGAGAACCGCGCCGTCTCTGCACTGACAGCCTGGTGTTTAAGAAGTCACATTCACGTCTCACTGTATGTTCAAGACGTGAGAATACTTTACATATCTTATGACCAACAAATGTAATTGCTATGATTTACAGCACCGACTGCGGTGGACACTAATAATCTATTATTAGCATTTAAGTTAATGCACTTATTCAAAATTACTGACACAAGGAAATCTAAAAGGGTTTCTTTGTTGTCTTTTTTTTCAGATTGTGAGTAAATTTGAAAAGAGGTCTGCCAGTAAGAAACAAGTAACATTTGGAACAAACGATTTAATAGTTCTGAGAAGCGAGGAGACCACGAGCCTCTTCTGCTGTGTCATTTCCTCTGTGTAGATCCCCTTCTGCCACGCAAACAAACCTGTGGTCACACACAAAGACTGACACACCAGGACTGTTCCTCTGCTCAGAGCAGAGATGCTAGGGCAGACAGAACTCTCCCCGAGCATTTTTCTAATCGAGTTCTCGCATTAGTTTGGCCTACTGTCAGAATCACCTTTGGAATTTGATGCTAGGTGTTCTTTAAAGAAACACAGTCACAGCAGACATTGTCTGGAAGTACATTGTTGATTCAAATGTCTCATAATTAGAAATTACTTTCAGCGTGAAAAATCTTGAGCAATTATTTCTGAGTCATACAGCTTAATGTTCAGTAATTTGTTAACAATAAATGATTTTTGTTATACAAGCAACTGATATCTAATAACGATGCGGGATGCCTGCCTGTTCACCTTTTAGCACTGCCGTGTTAGGGATGTGAAAACAGTGTAACTAGTCCCGTTTAAGAGGAAAGACTGCTATCGTTTTTCAGCTGCCATTTTCCAGATGTCCTGAGCTGGATGTCACTACTTCTACACCAAAAAAGATGCTTTTACACACTGAGAAGCTTACTAATGGAAGATGTCTGGATGGAACAAATGCGAAGTGTTATAATTAATTTCAAACAAAGAATCAGCTGTAGACATGAAATGAATTATCCGGGGACATTTTCCCTAGCTCTCATACCATGAGTCGCAGTATAATTGATGTTTCACAGTTTCAAACAGGGATTGTTTTTAGGTCTTGGCATAATTGAAAAGAAGCCTTAGCTCCAAATAATCAAATTTATAAATAAAACTTTACTTCCATCTCCAAAATCTTGGGCTGTATGTGTAAGTAAAGAGGACAAGATCTTATGCATTTTTTAAGCATTTTGAAGTAAAAAAACAAAGAGAATTGTGCAACAGTGACAAAACAGCAACGGTATTTCCAAGAATAAAATTCCCTGCCGTGTTAGAAATAATGACAAAGGAAGATGTGACAGCCATTAGCTTCTTTGGGTCTGGGACCGGATGGGATCCATCAATGAAATCTTAATGGGACACACATTGATTCAGCTATGAGCTTTTATCTCTGGTGCTGGAACAGGTTTGTCATGCAGCCACTTGGGACAGAGTTTTCCCCAACTTTTCCCAAACAGCACTATGGTTTTTCCAACATGTAACAACAGCTCCTTCGTTTATTTCAGAGGAGTGTTTGGCTGTCAAAACACAAAAATCTAACAATCTTTCAGTTCATTTTACATATGGCAACATTTCTTTCAAAGCAAGTGGTTAGACATACTCTCAATCAAGCATCTAGGAGAATCTTGAAGTTCTCTGTGCTCATGCTAAATAAATAAACACAGGAATTATTTTACTATCCAATCATTTAATTAGGTTTCGTTCAATAAATAAGTTGTAGAAGTTTTCTACATTCATGGCTCTCATGCATCGTTCTATAGATTAAATATACAGTATATGTGAATTTGTCTAAGCAATGAAAGCTTTTTAAAGCTGTTTAGATAAACAGTGGCTGATCTTTGTGTGATCTCTTGGAATCTTAATAATCTGCTGTCCATAGCATTCCCATTTCTTATCTTATCGTTTTTATAGTGTTTTGGAATTGTTGTGCAGTCACTGCGTGTTTAACTGCCTCTGCGATAATAAAGGATCAACAGTAGATTTTTTTCACTGGTCACAGTAACAGGGGGTCATTTCCCTGCTGTCTTTGATGGCATGATCAGAATTTCTTCAAGAAAGGGTTCCAGTATGCAGGGCCCACCTTTAAGTCATCCATTTTGCTCCAGAAATAGCTAAAGCAGGGGAACTTGGTCACCGCTGTCGCTGAACTGGCCTGGTAATTCCAGGGCTGCATGGGTAAAGCGGGATGTACACGCTGCCAGGTTGGAACATGAAATCAATTAGTTTTATAGGTTAAAAATAATGTCTGAGGAGAAAATACAGTATGGTGTTAATTGAGTTCACAGAATAAAGTGTGAGGTTGTACCTGTGAGAATTAGCAGATTGTGGAGGCACTGTGTAGCAATGGGAGTTCACTGGTGCAAGAAAAAAAAACAACTTTTAGCACACAAAGATAGAAGACAAAAAGAAAGCAAGAACTCCAAAGAAACAGAGAGGTGTGTGTAAGAAACAAGGAAAAGCTACTTGCCAAGTAACCATCTGCTTACAATTTCTGCCAATTCTATTTGTTAATTTAATGCTGTATGATCTGGCTATATACAATCATTTGGGTAGTTCAATATACGCATCCAAAAAAGACACAAATCCTTTTGAACAAAGCACTAGGATTTTTTTCTGCAGAATTTTTGCTATAGAAAACTGACGTGCACTGATTTGGACAAGAATTCTACCTACTTTCAGTGGGCAGACTGTCAGACTATCACACAGCTTTATGGAATTCAGGTGACAACCTTTCACAAGAGGTGAACTGCCTTTGAAAGTTAAATACATTATGCTGAGTATATCAAGCATTTCAGATTAGGTATGCGTTTTAGAGTGCATTGTTATTGCTGGGTTGTTTGTGATAGAGAGGGGATTTCATTAAGATCTTCACACTTCTTGTGTAAAAGCTCATTTTTGCTATGGATTATATAAAATCTGTTCAAGGGGGAAAGTTGAGGCCTATTCCAGCATTTGATGTGTGGGGAGAGGTATTGTGTACATCTTGAACAAGGTGTCAGTCTATCACCTAACCCCCTTGTGGCAGACTGAGAGTGTGAATTAGTGAGCCACATCAAACTTGTCACAGATCTAATTAATAGTGATTCTCATTTTTTGTCCTAATATGACTCTCTTTAATGATTACTTATGAAAGATATAGCTTATTAGCCACATTGGATTTTACGGTAGCGCAGGAATATAAAAACAAATACCATTACATCAGAATACACATTAATTAAAGTCCAGCATCCTGTAAAATCAGCAGAAATTCTACAGTGAAGTGTACGACGTATAACCATGTACAGAACAGAAACTGGGTCTGGCTGTGTTACACAAGCATGTTTCTAAGAAACAAATGACACATTTTTTCCAACAGGACCTGCTGCGGTGAACAGAAAAGAGATAACTGTGTTGATGAGACAGATCTTCAGATATGGAAGATGACTGCAGTCAAACCGTCAACAAGATGGACGGAAACATAGCTTTTGACAAAATTACTGGAAGCCCGAAAAAAGGGTTGTTATGCATTTTTATTTGATTGGTCCGTTCATAAACTGTTAAGTTTGTCTTAAATTTTCTCTTAAGACCCGGGAGAGCAAAATTGCAAGTTGTAGTTTGAAACAATAATCATAGAAAACTTTAGAAATGGTTGATTGCACTTGCAGTTAATTTCTTGAAAAATATATTGCTTGATACACAAGGGCATATTGATAAGAATGGAATCTTTGTGGCTGCATAATGAATTCAAGTGAACTGGAATCAACCTCAGTAAAAAAGCTAATGTCATGTTGAATAACGTTAAGCCCAGCTCCACATTTAATTCATGTAAAAGAATACATTTCCAAAGCAAGAGTAATCTTTCCATGTCAGTGGTGACTCATCAGTTTTCACTCAAATGCTTTCTGACTCATTAAATCTTTTGGTTTAAATTGAAAATGTAGCCGTCTGTGTGCAACACACATCTTAAAATAGGTATATCTGAAAAGAGTAAACATTTTGCAAAATCCAAAATGGAGCAACAGTGTATGCTTTAGCAGCAAAAGGGGGTGAAACTTTTAGTGGATTGAAATATTAACTTAATCTTATAGATATTACTGTACATTTGAAGAGATCTGCTTTTTATATTTTTGCACAAGGTGAGCACGAGAACTACTGAGACTAGGCAGAGAAACAATATCAGCTGGCTAAACATTACCTTGTTTTTTTGTTGTTTTTTTTTGCTTGTGATCATTTCATCCTTGTCCGTCTTTAACGGTTTAAATGTGACATACCAGGAGAAAAGTATCATAGATACAAACTGGAGCAACAACAGTTCAGTTCCAATATCCTAACTTGCTCCAGACAGAAAAATACACCATAATGATTGCATTGCATTTACCCATCAACCCATTCCCTGATGCATTTTTCCTGTCCCATCCCTGTCTTCATAATGAATTGGTTGCCATGGTTACTGTCGCTAAGCAACAAGCCAGTCAAATGCTCCTAATCCTGTGCTGTTGACAGTGAGCTGTGACTAGGGAAAGGAGGAAGAAAAAAGGGGGAAAAAAAGAGGTTCGGGGGGACATTGTATGCATGCATGTGCACGTGCATGTGCATGAGGAAGGGCGTGCGTGCATTGTATGTCTGTGTAAATGGTTAAGAAAGTGTTATTAGGCATATGTTGCACAGCTGTGTAAGCAATAGTCGAGTCAGAACAAATGCAGACATTCAGTTTATCAGTGAGATGAGAATGAAACACAAATGTTTGCGGCAGTTAAAGTTTCTGTTTTGCATCAGCTCTGACTGCACTATCGCAAATCCTTTAGGTATTTTATCAGTTTCAAAACAGAAATTAATTACCAGCAATATGAAAGAATGCTGGAGACTAACCAGGAAGGTTCCATGTTTTAACGTTATATTAAGTAACATTTGCTCTTCTGTTCAAGCCGCAGTGAGGATGATGTGTGAGGAGACTGGAATGTGAAGCTACTTCTTTCCTTGTCACAGACTTTAAATCACACGGGCATCAGTCGTGTTTCAGAGCTGTGTCTGACAAGCATTCAGGAATATTCTCATCTTGCCAAACGGAATATCACAGTCAATGTTATCATGGTCCTTTAAAGAATAACAAAGTGGTTTATTGAAAAAGATAATCTAATGAGTTTCAGAGAGGATTTCTTACATGCGTTTGAAATGCTACACAGCAGCTGCACCGAATACATTTCCTCAGTTGTTATCTCACCCATGCTTACAAAGCAGTTGCAGTGAAATGTGTCTGTACGTGAGATTATGCAGAAACTGCCAGGCCTGTGCTAATGTGTTCTTATTTATTCATTTTCTTTGTCATACAGTAGAGCCTTGCTTTGCCACACCCCATCTAACAGTAGTTTATCCAAATACAAACATATATAAGCTAAAACAAATAAAAGACATTTAAACTTGTGAAAGTATACATACATGCTTGGTTCTAATGAGAACATGAACCACAGCGTGTCCTTGTTTGTTGGCTTGTTTTTACCCCTGCACCCTGCAATGCTGTTGCCCACTGTATAGACATTAGTAATTTAAAAGGGAGAACAGACAGGGAGCAGCCTGAATAATGCAATTCTGAGGGGGGAAAAAAACAACGATCACATGAGCAGATAAAGGCAAAAATACTCTTCTTGTAAGGCAGGAAAATGTAGAATGAACTGTAATGAATAACAGGTTTGGGACTGCACACTTAAAGGAATTGTATGTATGGAAACAAAGCAATGACACTGTGATGAACCTCCTCATTAATACTTAAGCTTAATTAAAGCCTGTGCCTCTCTTGAGTACTCTGACGGAAGGAGGTAAGGGGGTAAGACAGTGTGTGTGTGTGTGTGTGTATGCGTGTGCGAGTACATTCGTGTATCAGTGGGTGTCTGAAGCAAAGGAAGGGGCTCTGCATGCTTTAGTGCTCCCAGGTGCCTCCCTTAGCCCCCCTCCTTGCACTCCCATTAAGAATTCTTACCGTATGAGTGTTAAAGTGGCCAGCTGAAGAGACAGGAGACTCCCTTGGCTCAGCAGGCTGTGTCCTACTCTACTCTCAAACCAGCTGCACTCTTGTTTTGACACCCTGGAAAAAGGAGGAGTAAGGTCAAAAAGGCTAACAGGACTTTGTGTTGTACACAGTGTTTTTTTCTTTGCTTCTGGGTAAATAAACTAATAGAGAATGGAGGGCTTGTTCTTCATCATGTGACAGCCTGGAACAGGAAGCAATATGTATGGATAAAGACAGAGGCATTTTAGTTTTTTTTTTTTTACAAAGATTCAATTTTGTCATTGCTTTTGAAAGGAAGGCACAACATTATGTGTGTGTATGCAGGATGGCTAAATACTAAATTAAATTACTTTCTTCAGGATTTGCCCGACACCTGTCAGCCTTGATAGATGGCTTGTAAAACTCTTCTGCTAAATATAACCAAAATTATAGAATTTCTATCTACAGACGCAGTATTTTTTTTAGTTACGATGTTTTACCTTTATGAGAGTTCATTTCAGTATTCTTAGTTGCTTCAAGAGCATTTTTTTGTGGCGTCAAAAGGCTTCATGGTCCTCTGGTTTGTCAAACTTCAGCTTTTTCATCATCCTTCAAAAATACCACGCTTACAACACTGAATGAGCAGGATTTACTTTGAATCTGCAAGGCGATTGTCTAATCCTTTGCTATTCCCCTTGGTATCTTTTTTTTTTTTTTTCCATGCTGTGCAGATCTTGTGATTCGCTCAAAGCATCATGCTGTTTCAGTAACCTTTTAAACAGCAGTCCTCCATCTGACAACCTCCCAGTCACAAGCTACTGGCCACTCGCCACATGCCAGCAGCTGCCACGAACAGATCAACTTTCTTTTTCTTTGTTTTTTCTTATACATTCAACATCACATGAGCACAGACTGTAAGGAGACTCTCACCCACACACACACACACACTCACACACACACACACGCACATAAAGATGATCACAGGTTTTTTCCACTTGAAGACAAACATTCTGGAAGTTATAATTGAAAAAACTGTTCTTTTTAAAAGATTGTTTACGTACTCCTGTACATGTTAATTTATTGATGCGTTTGCATATAAAATTAGATGAGTTTAGCTGAGTGGGAAGGCAGTGGTTTATACATGACATTATCGTTCTTGTTCAAGTTGGGAGGCTTTTGTTGATTTGTGTGCAGATAAAGCGGGATGGGTCTCTTCACGATGTAGACCAATATTCTTTTCAACAAATTTAAAAGGAAATAAATACGAAAAATAAAGACGTATGGAAATAACTTATGATCCACACCCATTTAGAAAGAGCTAAAGTATTTATCCACTGAAAAAATGAACAGACAATGCACATAGAAAAAGAAAAGAAAAAGTAAACTAAATTTTAGATATTTGAATTAATTAAATCTTCAGGAATTGTGTGAAACTGGTGCTTTCATCATCCAACTTAGAGCTGCTGCAAGTCCCAGCAGAAGGGTGTTTTTGTGATAAACTATATAAGGTAACAACAGTCTGTCCTCAGTGCGCGCCACCGGTCTGTCGACAGTTTTTGCCTCCACACAATCCGATCAAATCTTCCTCTTCACAGCATGAGTTGTTCCACTAATGAATAGAAATAGTTTGAAAGAGTGCACACCTTCTGGAACTGATCATTTCACAGCACCCTTCTCAAACAAAGGCGAGGAGTGGTTGAAATGGTCTGTTCCCGAGAGGAGTTCAGGAGTACAGCTCTGTCCGAGTCTCAAATCTCTGTTGACACAACAGACAAGTCTGCTCTTCAGTTTCACCTTGACATTTTTTGCAAGACCTTCTGTATCCAATTCTTTCACCTTCGTGGCAGATCACATGAATCCTATTGTCATAATGAGGTTGGATAGTGCGATAAACTGTGCTGATTTGGGGTAGGACCTTCAAAGGAGCCACTATTGCTTTGTTCTTGGATGTGAAATACTTTTTCTCATGCTCTGATCTCCTTCTCTTTCCGTGCCCACACAGAGCCGTATGGCCGAGAGCTTGCGTCTGTTCGACTCCATCTGCAACAACAACTGGTTCACCAACACGTCACTCATCCTCTTCCTCAACAAGAAGGACTTGCTGGCGGAGAAGATAAAACGCATTCCTCTGACAGTGTGCTTCCCCGACTACAAAGGTCAAAACACCTACGAGGAGGCGGCTGTCTATGTGCAGCGGCAGTTTGAGGACCTCAACCGCAACAAAGAGACCAAGGAGATCTATTCGCACTTCACGTGTGCCACCGACACCAGCAACATCCAGTTTGTGTTCGACGCCGTCACGGACGTGATCATCCAGAACAATCTGAAGTACATTGGGCTGTGCTAGGACCCGATGCTCAAGCCGGTGGTGGGGGTGTTTGGGTGGGGTGGGGTGCAGCTTGCAGCTTGGCAGCAGTAGGCCCACCGTCAGGCCGGATAAGCAAAGGCATTTCACTCTGCCTGACGGTGTATCTCTTCCAAGAGGTGCAACTGGCAAAGAGAGAGGTAGTAAGATCGGATGTGTGGACGATACTGTAGATTCAACCGAAACAACAGAGCCAAATGGGCCGTGGTCAAGATGGGATTTTTACCCTATGTGTTTGCACTGAATATGAGTATGCAGAGACACCCAAACACAGACATAAAACACAAACATACTGATCAACACACATCCTCATGGTTTGCTCACACACACGATCTTCAGATCAACTGTCGAACTCTTGTTTGACAAGGTGACACTGGAAATTTTAGACAACTAGCCCCAACCTGCCAGTCGAACTGGAGACTGAGTAGATGGCATGTACTGGCAGTTTTTCTTTACTCGTCTCCTTTCTATTATTTGCCTGAGTCAATTAATGCTGCTTTACAGAAAATCATTTGGACAGAATCAATGCTCTCTTTTGGATCTTCACCCAAACAATAGTAAACTTTGAGTGCACCTGATGAAATGTAGAGAGAGCCTCTGATTCTGGGGAAAACAAACTAAGTCAGTAGATATGATGTCACAGGGTTTTTTGCCTACAAGAGGAAACTGCCACTGTTTAAAGTTGAGGTGAAATATGTTTTTTTTACACACTATTTCTGTTCCTTCTCCTGGTCGACCCTCTGATGTTGTTTGTTTACCCTTCCTCCGTTTATCTTTTTGTGCTTTAAAAAGAATAATGTCTCTCAAGCCTGCCCTTTATAGCAGGTCACTGACTTATAAAACCAAGAGTATGTTAGTCTCTGCAGAGTAAAAAGTATTTATGATCATTCCAGTTTCCAGCAAGAGACGACAAAAACAGTGCCAAGATCAGTTTGTAAATAAAATCAGATCCCATCCGTTCATATTTTTTGTTTGTTTTGTTTTTATGGACAAATACATTAAAACATGCATGATTTTGTTACTTTGGGATACTAATATATTATTTTCTTTGGGATTATGTTTCACTTTTCCTAGGTTTTAAATAATATATTCCCTACATATATATATATATATATATATGTAAAGTTTATGTATATATATATATATATATACACACATATATATATACATATATACATATATATATATATATATATTTGGATAGATAGATATATGAAGGTCAAAAACACTGTGTACGATTGTACAGTTGTCAGAGAGGAATCTATTGAAAAAGAGATATATCAATATAATTACGGTTATAATAATGTTATGATGACAATGAAGAAGATTACAATGATGTTGGTAATTACAGTGCTGACAACAAAAAAACTCACTTTTAAGTTATCATGAGAGGAAAATGTGGATCGAAGGAGAACATGAAAAAAAAACAAAGACACAAACCTTGAAAGTTCAATCTTTCCTTGCATTATCTAAGTGGAAATTGTTAAACAGTCAGTCAGTATGATGTGTAAATATACTGTAAGGTACACTCAATGTTCAAATGAAAATAAAGGTTGAGTTGGGATACTGTCGCTGAGATAAAGAGAGTGAGAGACAGAGGAAGAGGATCCCTCTCCACGACTCCTCTTACCCTTTCTTTTCGGTTTAGAGATCAACTCAGCCAAGGGCTTCAAGCTTGACTTTACAGGATGTCCACTTCAACATATGAAAAAAAAAAAATCAATGGCAAAGGAAATATAAAAAGGACAATAACTATGAATAAAACAACTTATGCAAATTTTTATGGTGTAGTGGATGTGTTTTTGGGTGATTATTGTCTCAACAGTGCTTTAAATGTGTTTTGAATGGGAATGTTCACAAGGCTACAAGCTCTTTAGGCCATGGGTCTGTCTTGTTCTCTTCTAAGTATTCTAAGTAGAACAAGATTCCTCGTTTCGAAATATGAAATCCATACTTCTCTCCAAATTCATGGCATAAAAAAAAGTGTTTGTTCTCTGTACAATGTAGCTACTGGAGCAAGAGGAATTTGGGCATAAAGTATGTAATTAAATAACTCCTGAATGAACTTGGCCTCTGTGTGATGGGATGACAGGGTACAGTGTCAAACAGATTCCACACTAATTAGTTTTTAAACTCCAGCTGACCCACTAAGTCTGCTGACAGGTCTGTCAAAGTTTAATGTTTACCTACACACATATGTTGCTCCGAATAAAGTTCTTCAAGAGGAGAAAAAAGACTTCCACTAGTTAATAACACAGGTTATTATCATCATGATACTTAGGATCTTCTGTGGAGCACAGTTTACTTACAATCGTGACTTTTTTTTAAAGTTAAAATTGTATTTAAGTGTGACTATGGTATATCAGATGACTGAGAAATTGTGGGCGTGGCAGATTTTGAAATACTTGGGAATACTTGATATAATTTTAAAATGAATATAATTTGGATGTCAACTCCTGCGTATTATCTTCATTAACTCTCTGTGTCAAGATTAACTTAGGTCACAGGGACATTCTTTAGGGAAAGATTTCAGCGGTGGTGGGAATTTATTTTAGACATGAGCATGAATAAAAATTGCTGCTGATAAGTGGAGTTTTCCTGAAATTAAGCCTCGTGACTGTCACGTAGCTGGGGTAAATGCAAGCTATAAAACTGACTCAGTTACTGAATCTAAAAAAAAATCAAAGGAGGTATAGACATGCTCTGGGTTTATTCATTCAACTGAACCAGGAGGTAACTTTAAATCATATGTATAAGAAAAAGTACTCAGCCATGTGACGTGTGGTTTTCTCAGGACTCCTTTGTGAACAAGGAGCTAGGTGCTAGGGACTCTGCAGGAAACTGCTATGAATAAACACAGGCAGTGTGAAATTGCTTTACTGGGAATATTTGCACATTGAGGAAAAGTAATAAAACTTTATGACACTATATAATCAAGGAATTTTAAAATATACCACATCTAGTAAAGATGATTGTCCCAGTTCAATATGTTGTAAACAAATTGACATTTTTTAATGTGGTTTTGCAACTTAATAAGCATCTTTATACGCAGATTTACTCTTCTGATCTGATTTTGAAGCATTGCGGAGTGGTTGCTTCTATCTGCAGGCGTGAGGTTGAATATAACAGTCCTCAATCATTGTACTATTTTAGGGTACAGAGGTGAATTGATCCACAAATCTGGAGCAACATGCAGTATTACAGATTATTCATGCTTTTTATATCCCTATAATTTTCCAAACAGATTATACTGTTGGACAGTCAAATTTTCATGATGATCCTTTCATCCATTTTCTATCCTTGTTCAATTAATTCAACATCCCAGGGGGGCTGGAGACTCTGCTGTCATTGGGAAGGACACACCCACAGCTTTATGTAATACAAAACATAGACAAGAGAAGAAACTATCACACGTATAATAATATTACTGCTTTCACCTTCTCCTTTTTTCATTTTTTGACTCCTGGCAAATCTGCCTTGACATATTTCAATCCAGATTTTCTCCTTTTGAGGAGCTTGTGGCTCGTCACAGTCATTATTCCTCTCACATCACATCACAAAAACCGTGATGACAGGCAGGACAAATCTTCCAGGGTAACCTTCCGTAGCTGTCTCCTCTGACCTCTCCATCGTGAGCTAAATGCCTGCTCCTCAGCTGGTCCTAAATTATAGCAAAAAGGCACCAACATTGAACATCACCCTCTTGTACCCCCTCCATGTCTTTCCTGTTCTAGACGACTCCTGCTGATATGGTAAACTTCTTGATGAATGAGTATCATCAACCTCTCCCCGACACCTGACTGAACCATCCGTCTGGAGTCCGTCAGAGTCTCAGCACAGAACTTCTTCATGACCGCTGTGAAGTTATTTTGGTCAAGCCTCTCTCCAACATGGCATTGTGGTGTGTGTAGCACTAGTTCCTCATAGATTAAACAAAGGGAAAACACACAAAATAAGCAAGTGTCAAATAATGAAGTTATCACCACATGAAACTGATAGACAGTTTCATCATATTGATCTGCTGAAAAGAATGGCAAAATACTATACTACATGAAGATAAGTGCCAAGAGTTTATGTGTAGATTTGAATGCACTTCTTATTTGACAAGGATACTCAGGAGGATGTTAAATTGTGTGATATTAGTGATTAGTGATTAGTCTACAGATGGTCTTGTGTCAAGGGAAGCACTTCAGGCATAATTATTAATGAGTCCCGGAAAGAAAGTAAAGTACAAAGTGGAGCTGTTCTGATGGATTCTTTCTGACAACCACAAATGTGTTCTAGTAGTTCTGTGATAATGTGTTCCATCAATACTCTAATCTAATTTTAAACTAGGCCAAAAACATTCAGCAAAACTTTTTCTTAGGACTGTAACAGTACATTTGTCTTTGTTTCACAAATTCTGCTTTAATATTCTTGTTGTTCTTTGTTTGGATTGGACACATTTTCTTCCAAAAGGTCTGTGGACCTTGATAGTCACTGTAGGACTTGACCCCTCATTTAGCGTCTTGAAAAGCAGCATCATTTATAATACCAGACAACAAAGTGATAGTATGAACTCTACTTCAATAAAAAGCAAGACCAGTCCATTCTGCGGAAGCCTGGATGTAATGAAAATGGATCCAACCAGAACTGTGATGATGCTTAAATCCCTAAACAAGTCCAACAATTTAGGCAGCAGATGAGGATGAGGGCCAACATTCCTCTGCTGAGACAAAATGGATAAAATGATGATTTACTCAGCTGCAGCCTGGATATGATGGCACATGTTCAGCAATATAGACTGAATCATGAAAACAAGACAGAGATTCAAGGCTACATTACACCGGTGTTAATCCAATTTCAGCTAAGACCCAATTTACTGGACCTGATGAACCAGGTAACCCCGGGCCATCCTGAAAACTCCACATTCTGGAAGCATCTAAATCAATTTCTTCTGGCCTTTTAGAATATACCATTGCAAAAATGGTCTAAAATTGACAATGACGATCAGACGTCAGATTGCATTTTTCACTTTCAATAGGAACAATGTAATTGTTACATGACTGACACCAGCTACCCCTTTAGTCCCACCTTTTTAGACCATATAATTCAAGAAGCACACTAAAAGAACACTCGAACAGAAACGTGAACTGAAACCAACAAATCTCTGCCAAGCTGCCAGTCAGTGTTTGTGTCCCTGCTCAGCTCCATCTGAGTCAGAGTCATAGACAGACACAGACTGATTCCAAAGTAACAGTAGGCAGGAAAGAACGCGGCTGTCTGTGTCTTTCCAGTGTGAACCTCACTCCTTCCCACTGAGGCCACAATAGGCCTCAGGCTACCCCCAACAGGCTAAAATTAGCAGCAGAATTTTTTTTACTGAGTCCAACTAAAGTAAGATGTTTATATTTTTGCCAAATTTTTTGCAAATCATCGGCTTAAAAAAACTTTATTTGATAGGTAGTTTGTTGAAGGTGTGAAGCTCCGAGTGGTAATGCTAATGGAGAGCACATAACTTCCACTGAGTGTGTCATCAGCCCTCTCTCCACTCGGTTGCCTGGTTAGATAAGCACTTCCAAAAAGCCCCTTGTCGCTGTGCTTTAGTAAAAAGTATGCACTGTACTGAAGAGCAGTCTAGCACTGTAAAAGAGCATGCTGTCTGTCCACATTTCCTTAATGCTAGCATCACTTAATTGCCATCATTTGTGGCTAGACTGTAGCAATTACTTTAGCCCCTAACACGCTTTAGGTGTTTGGATGTTGGCTGGGTGACCCACAGGGATTATTAGGGTGAGTACAGATTTACTTACTGACTTGGCCAGACTGTTATGTCAGTGAAAATAAACATCTAATCTTATTCTGGTACAAAAAGGCTGAGGGGTCAGTAAATGTATATTTCCCTCAGTCACTATATCCAAAATCGTGATCCTGATTCTCGGTGATCCACCAATAAACCATATCTATGGCTGACTGATGTATTATTGTTTGTGTGCATTAAATTAAATAACTCTCCAGCCCCTGTAGTTTTCCTGCAGCACTGGGTGGTCAAGGTGTGAGGCAAACTCTGCATTTAACTTTTGCTCCACTAGAAACCAGACCTAACCTGCTTATATATTAACCCTCTACAACCTGTTTCCATACACATTTGTTTGCACAGTGTAGAACCTGTGTAAAATGCTATTTAAAAATTAATACAAACAATGAAAACTCTATAATCAA